CTCTCTCTCTCTCTCTCTCTCTCTCTCTCTCTCTCTTGATTTTGGAACGAAATTTTCTTGCAATTGGCCACACATTTGGACGACGCGTGCATATCGTTGTTCATTTGAGAATTCTTTAACAATGAATTTTATAGCAAAAGTACTTGCCCAGGAGCTGTGCGAATTGTTCTATAATACAAATTTTTATAGTCGTTAGGCATCGGATCCAGGTGACTATGCGGAAGCTGATCCTACTCAACCGAGAATTGGCTCATTGCAGGTCCATGATCTATGTCATCGTTGGTGGTGGAATCGCCGGTGTCAGTTGTGTTAGAAGGCTTTTAGTCTCGCTTGATGAATCTGACGATAGTATTGTTCTGGTATCCGCTGGTAGACGGGTGAAAACCGTGCATAACTGGACGAAAGTGAGTCTTGCTCATAAAAAATCTGCTCATAAAAAATTTCAACTAAAAATAGAAATCTCGCTCCATCAGATTTTTTTGGATTATCGTGAAGGGGTTTTACCTAAAATTTATGCTTAGGGCACAGGGACAAAGAAATTTTGTCATGGTTACCAGTGTGGAAATTTATAGGTTGGTCAATACACCGAGCAGTTTGATGTTAGTGAAGATGAAACCGTCTCAGATGATCCTCGACTCAGCCATATACAAGCTGAGGTAGTGGGTTGGAACCATGAGAAGAAGGTATTACATCCTTTTTTTCGTGAAAACTTCCTCTTATTGAGTTTCCTAGGAATTATACCTAGACAATCGAACGGAACCTCTAAAATACGATCGGTTATGCATTGCCACAGGAGCTAATGCGATCTCGCCATTTTCAAATAAAAAAGTTAGTTTGTCAGTCTGCTCTGTCCAGCGCTAGTAATTTTGACGCTGAAAGTAAAATTTTTAGGTAGTAACTATACGGGATACCGAATCTGCAGAACAGCTCCAAAAGCGCTTAAAAGGTGCAAAGCATGTAGCTGTTGTTGGAAATGGTGGTATCGCTACCGAAGTTGTGTAAGTGGTGGAAAAATACAAGCGAGAATGGCAGAATTTTTTTCAGATTTGAAATGGTCGGGGTCGCAATTACATGGATTATCCGCGATAATACCATATCTTCTGTATTCTTCACTCCTAAATTTTCGGAATTCTTTAGAAAAAGAATGGCTGAAGGCCGTCTTGCGGGTGCGTTTGTTGGGTAAAATTCAAAGTTCATTGGGGCAATACTTATATGAGAACTGTTCGGAAAGGCTCCAAACGTCAGTTCATATGATGCCTTTGTAGCAGATGAAGTCAATTCTGAACTCTCGCCCATTACCGTACTCTCGTAGCAGACGACGTCCCGGTTACGGT